TGTCAATGGTAAGTTGATTCTGAGAAATAACTATTGATGAGAGTTTGTCATTGATTTTGATTAGGTGATTGGTATTATGGGAATTGAAATGGCTGGTGGTGTTTATTGTCCATTATCACCTCGAGATCCACAACATCGTTTATATGCACTTGTACAACAAACTGAAAGTCGCCTTGTTCTTGTTCATCATTTAACTAAAATCAAATTCGATAATGGCATTGTTTCACTCGATATTGATTCAATATTGATTATTAATAATATAGAAAAGAGTATTGATATTGATCAACTATCAAGTATAAGAGTTACACTCGATGATCTAGCTTATATCATTTTCACAAGTGGTTCCACTGGATTACCTAAAGCAGTTCGTTGAGGTTTACCTTTTTGATATTTGACTGATGTTTGTGCTTTCTTATAGGTTCAAGTACAACACAAGAATTTTGCTGAATTTATGTCTTCTTTAATTTATGGTGATGTAGTAACTAAAAAAGATACAGTTCTTCAAATGTCACGTTGTTCTTTTGATATTCACGTTCAAGATATAATGGGCACTTTCATGGTTGGAAGTAGTCTAATTATGCTACATCCAAGAGGAATTATGAACTTTGACTATCTTATCAGTGTCTTCAAAGAAAAGAATATTAGTTGTGTTTCTACTGTTCCAACTATAATTCTTAATTTCTTCACTTATCTGCAACAACAAAATCATCATAATGTTGTACAATACCTGCGATCAGTTAGTAGTGGTGGTATGTAATGTTACTATGAAATGTATTATTTTTGAGATTATATAATCTTACCTCTAGGTGAGCCTTGTTCTCTAAACCTAATAAATTTAATGTCAAATACTGTAACGCACAGTTGTCGACTATGGAACATGTATGGTCCCGCTGAAACAACAATTGCCTGCACGTTTCACTCTTCGAATAATACAAAAGAGACTGAAAACATTTCAATAGGCAGACCGCTTTCAAATTATCAAAATGTAGTTTTAGATCAATTCTCACAAAGTGTATTTATCGATCAAGAAGGAGAATTGTTTATAGGAGGTGTTGGTGTCTTTGCTGGTTATCTTGGACGTGATGATTTAACTGCAAAAGCTCTTCTTGAAGTAGATGGCAAACTATTTTATCGAACAGGTGATCTTGTTAGAATAGATAACAATAGTCTTCTTCATTATCAAGGAAGAAAAGATCATCAAATCAAACTTCATGGACAACGTATTGAACTTGGTGAAATCGAACAGTGCTTACATCGAACATCTATTTCAGCTTGTGTTGTTATTAAATGGAAAGATGATTATTTAATTGCTTACGCTCAATCTTCTCATGTGAACGAAGAACAACTACGTCAACATTGTCAATCTCATCTTCCACCACATATGATTCCATCTTTCTTTATTATTCTTGACAAACTACCTTTGAATCAAAATGGAAAAATAGATCG